ACGGATAAGCCTGATTGGTGGACCAGGGTTGTTACGCTTCAATGTTATCTCAAAAGATTCAGGTGGCTCAGTTAAAAAAGACCTTTACACCTTCTTGTTTATGCGTTTTCTTCTTTCTCGTCAGTGCCAGTGCTTTTGTTTTCTTCTCTTTTATGTCAACTCAGCAAAGTCCCTCTTTGTTGTACTAATTTCCATGTCTCACCCTTTTTGTGTTTTTTGATTCTCTTTCTCAGTCTTTGCTCCTCTTCACTATCACAACTCTGTTTCTTGTTCCCATCTCCTCTTGCTAATGATCCATACATCAGGCCATTTATCTTTTTTCCCACCATCAATCCTTCCTTCCCATTTCCTTTTTCTTTTCCTTCACTTTCTCTCTAATAGTGTGACAATATCAAGCCAGTTCTCCCTCAGGGTATAAAAGCACATTTACTGTTAGACCACAAGAAGCTGTATCTGACATTATAAGGCAGGAAATCTCATAGATGCACAAACACAGACACACTGCAGCTGAGAAATGAGGTTGTGATGGAGTGATGAATTCAATTTGTCACTGATTCGGAGGTGCCTCTGCCTTGTATTACTCTGTCTCGTTCACACAGCAGAGGCTCTTACTGCAAAAACAGGCAGAGAAAATGAGAAAGAAACAGGATTAAAAGGAAAGGCAGACAGATGAGGTAAGGAGGGTCATATGGAAACAGAAGTGATGCAGCCAAAAGACAGGTCAGCAGATGGGAAAATGAGTAACGGCATTAATGAGTACACCCCCTCTGAACATAAAGATGCATTTGCATTTCTAAAAGATCACCATTGCAACTGATGGAATAATAAAGTTGAAAACATATGCTTAATTAAAACATGACGATTTGTTGTCAGTCACCATGAAATCAGTTAATTGGGTAACTTTTGATACTCTGTGAATTTATTATGGCTGAATCTCAATGTCCTCCCTAGGGTCTTAGGCCCTGAACCCTCAAAGACTTAACTTAATTAGAATAACATCACTTAACATAGCAATGATTCTTTGTTTACTGTTAATCTTCTTTATTTATATTTTTAACTTCCATTTTATGACATTTGTTTAGCTTTTCTACACTAACAGAACTTTTTTACCCTAATGATCTAATTTAAATTTGATAACTGAATTAAAACTTGTAACGCATTAACAACACTAATTAGAACGTGTTAGTAGTTTTCTCCATTTTTTTCCCCCTAGTGCATAAAACAAGCAAAAAACATGTAACTTGTTAAGTTAGCATGGTTTTGATGAGAAAAGGACAGCATGCAGAGGATCACAGCTGAGTAAATTAGTTTTACCCAGTTACAAATGAATTTTTGTGGTTAGCGTGTAACTTTTACCAAGCAGAACATAGTCTGGCTTGTTAATTTGGGTGCTTGATGACCTACAGTGAGGAACAGAAGTATTTGAACACCCTGCAATTTTGCAAGTTCTCCCACTTGGAAATCATGGAGGGGTCTGACATTCACATTGTAGGTGCATTCCCACTCTGAGAGACAGAATTAAAAAAAGAATTTCAGGAAATCACATTGTATGATTTTTAAAGAATTTATTTGTCTTGCACTGCTGAACATAAGTATTTGAACACCTGAGAAACAGCAAGAATTCTGGCTCTCAAAGACCTGTTACTGTGCCTTGAAAAAGTCCACCTCTACTCCACTCATTAATCTAAATTAGTAGCACCTGTCTGAACTCTTTAAAGACACCTGTCCACCCCACAGTCAGTCAGACGCCAACTACTACCATGGGCAAGACCAAAGAGCTGTCAAAAGACACCAGAGACAAAATTGTGGACCTCCACAAGGCTGGAAAGGGCTACAGGGCAATTGCCAAGCAGCTTGGTGAAAATAGATCAACTGTTGGAGCAATTGTTAGAAAATGGAAGAGGCTAAAGACGACTGTCAGTCTCCCTCGGACTGGGGCGCCATGCAAGATCTCACCTCGTGGGGTATCACGGATGATGAGAAAGGTGAGGAATCAGCCCAGAACGATAGGGAGGAGCTGGTCAATGACATGAAGAGAGCTGGGACCACAGTTCTGTCGGTAGAACACTACGCTGTCATGGTTTCAAATCATGCATTGCACGGAAGGTTCCCCTGCTCAAGTCATCACATGTCCAGGCCCATCTGAAATTTGCCAAAGACCATCTGGATGATCCAGAGGAGGCATGGGAGAAAGTCATGTGGTCAGATGAGACCAAAGTAGAACTTTTTGGTCTAAACTTCACTCATCGTGTTTGGAGGAAAAAGAAGGATGAGTTGCATCCCAAGAACACCATCCCTACTGTGAAGCATGGGGGTGGTAACATCATGCTTTGGGGGTGCTTTTCTGCGAAGGGGACAGGACGTCTGCACTGTATTAAGGAGAGGATGAATGGGGCCATTTATTGTGAGATTTTGAGCAACAACCTCCTTCCCTCAGTCAGAGCATTGAAGATGGGTCGTCACTGGGTCTTCCAACATGACAACGATCTGAAGCACACAGTCAGGATAACCAAGGAGTGGCTCCGTAAGAGGCATATCAAGGTTCTGGAGTGGCCTAGCCAGTCTCCAGACCTGAACCCAATAGAAAATCTATGGAGGGAGCTGAAACTCCGTGTTGCTCAGCAACAGCCCCGAAACCTGACAGATCTAGAGGAGGTCTGTGTGGAGGAGTGGGCCAAAATCCCTGTTGCCATGTGTGCAAACCTGGTCAAGAACTACAGGAAACATTTGACCCATGTAATTGCAAACAAAGGTTTCTGTACCAAATATTAACACTGATTTTCTCAGGTGTTCAAATACTTATGTTCAGCAGTGCAAGACAAACAAATTCTTTAAAAATCATACAATGTGATTTCCTGAATTTTATATTTAATTCTGTCTCTCAGAGTGGGAATGCACCTACAATGTGAATTTCAGACCCCTCCATGATTTCTAAGTGGGAGAACTTGCAAAATGCAGGGTGTTCAAATACTTCTGTTCCTCAATGTAAATCTCCATCTAGCTACTAAATAAATAAATAAGTGCTATTGTCAGATACATGGTATTTTTGGGAGATTTCCTCTAGACACATATCGGTATTTCCAATGCCTTTCACATTCAAAAGGTCTCACACACACACACACACAGACGTTCTCTTGTCCTGAAGTCACCTGGTTGGTAGTTGTCATGCAGGTAGTGAACCTCCTGTCAGAGTGTTAAATTTTCTGCAGGGCTGAATTCAGGGTGGTGCACTCATCTGACGACCCTGCCAAGGTCTTGCTGAGCCAACTGCTCTCAGTCAATCTTGATTGGGCTGGCACTTTACACTAGAAAAACAACGTGCATTGTGGAAAGCGCCAGAAAATCTTTTCTCACTGCCTGTCCTTGTTTTTATTATGGTGCAATTTAGCAGTCGGTTTAGTGATGTGGAGATAAGAAAAACAATATCCTTTTTCCACCTCTCCCACTGTCCTTTTAACACTCTTTGCTCATGTCATTCTGTGGTTTCGAAATAGTTACAGGTCAATGAAACTCTGACCCTTGTGCTATTTAACTTGAAATTCATGTGTAAAACAAACCACAAAACAGCCAAGAACCAGTCAACTCATTATACTTGAATGTAATTATGATTACTCAGAATTTTATTTGCTTAATCGAGCATGGAAATGACCAGTTGATTTACAGGAAGTTATATTTCCAGACAGGATTATGATCAGTTCGCCTGCTTTTTTCAGCACCTTGGATCCATGTTTGCACATGTAAAGACACAGTGTACCGTTGCCCACAGGTTGCAATGGCAGCTGTGGTTGTGCAAGCTGATTCATATAACAAAGAATCTTGACTGAGTGATGACTACATAACCTCAGTCATGGTCGTTGTCTGACGTCTTTTGCAGAACAGCTGTACAATTAGTTATTTTAAGTAGCATCTTATAATTTCTGACACATTTCCAGGTATTAGAGAAATACTGTGTATTGTAACTTTGAGTGTTTTTGTTGAATCTTTTTTTTAAAAGGCTTTATATAGAAGTTTTTATCTCCCGCTGCTCTGTTTCTGAGGATATGTTTTTCAGTTAATCCATTCATGTTTTATCATACTATATGTGTGTAACTCCCAGACTGAGCTGACATTGGTTATTTCTATGAGAAAGACAACAGCTTGTGATGGAGGCTGATCTGATGAAAGCTGCCTGTGCAGGAATGTTGCCACATTAGGTGAGAAACGTGCAGGTATAGAGAGAGACCTGTCGGTAATGGTGCCGGAGTTTCACAGTGTATCTCTGTGTGGGGGGATGTGCCAGCATCTATCAGTGAGCCCCTTTATCCTCTTGCTCAAGAAACGGGGATCTCCATGGCGACCCCTGACATCCTATCTCAAATTGATTACTCATGGTGCAGTCTGTCCTCTCAGGGCATGTACTCATAAATAGAGTGTGTGATAAGCAGAGGCACAGATGAGGATAACGGAAAATAATAGCCACCACAGTAGAGTCACTGGGGAGTTTGAGCAAAGCAAATCCATGGTATCAAGTCGAATCATGCGCTCTGGACATGTTAATAATTTCCATGCAGCCACAGGTGGCTGCACCACCTCCTCACTGTTGGCCTATAATCACAGTACTTCAGGCTTTATTGCTGCATAAGTCTCCTACTGACACTCAACCACGAAGCTTCCAACCTCCAGAAGCCTTGTTTCTCACATCTGATCATTGATTAGTAACTAAGTTCAGAAAATTGTTGGAAGGTGCACAGACACAGGTGCTGTAAACATTTGCTGAGTTTGTGCTCACAGATTCAGTCAACACCTGCCTGTTCACTCATCTGAGCAGCTTTTCTCCATCTCTATTGTGTGTCTGACAAAAACAAGCCATCCCAGCATCTCCTTCTGTTTATGTGTGAACTCCAGGAAGAATAGCTCTCAGTCAAAGGGTCAGGATGCACTAATATGTTCTCTCTTCTTCCTCTCCTCCCATTTCTCCCCCTTTGTCTCCTCTGTCTTCTTCTGACACTGTCTCACAATAGAAAAGTGTGAAGGAGGGAATCCTATTAAAGCAGACCAGCTCCTTCCAGAGATGGAAGAGGAGGTACTTCAAACTCAGAGGGAGGACCCTCTACTATGCCAAAGACTGCAAGGTATGGAAGTGAGAGAAGCTGCTTACAGCGGTGCATTTGTAAGCAATGCATGTGCACTTCAGTGAGCTCTGAAACCAGCTTCACAAACTGGAAACAGTCCCAAACGTACACACATTGTTATAATAGCTGTTGAGTTCTATATAATAGAATGGTTTTCATGTCATTATAAGGTGTGAAACGTGATTGAATGTACCTTGATAATGTACAAAGCAGTAAGATATTTATGTACATTGTATGTTTTGTTTCTTTTCCCCTCACTAGTCTCTGATTTTTGACGAAGTGGACCTTTCAGATGCCAGTGTAGCTGAGACCAGCACCAAGAACATTAACAACAGCTTCACGGTAAACACCACCACATGTCTAAACATTGGTCTCACAGCATTTTGAAACATTTCATTTGGCTTTGTCATAATTTGCCAGTGATAACAAAGTGTTTAAAAATATTTATCTTAAAATCTTGGACCACAGTTTATACAGACACACTGTCATTTTAGGTTTTAGATGCTGTGTTTACATCACATCAGAGTTAGAGTAATTAAAAATTCCCCAGTTCACCATCCAAGTCTTAGTCATAACTGGGAAGCTCCAATGTATCCAACTTTGCACTTACTAATCCAGAAGTGCCTGCAATTAAACCCACATTTCATTCTGTTTCTCTCAGGTAATCACTCCATTTCGCAAACTCATGTTATGTGCCGAGAGCAGGAAGGAAATGGAGGACTGGATCAGTGCTCTGAAATCTGTCCAGAAATGGGAAACCTATGAGGTTGGTGCTTCTCATCTCGGTCAATCTCTCTCTTTGTCTTAACATTATTTATTCTGTAGGCTGACATCAGAATACAGACAAGAAGCTGGCCAAACTAATGCTCCTTTGATAAAAGCTAGACATAAGTGTGTGATTACTTTTGATGAGAGCAGACTTCACACCTCAGTTTTGTTTTGTTTTTTTACACAAAGTATCCACTCATATAATTTCTTCCTCTCTCATTTCCACCCTTCATCCTTTGTTTACTCTAATGTGCTTTGCCCACAGATTGATGTCTCTCATAAAATCTGTCTTTGCTTTAACAGGCTATGAAGAAAGCTGAAAACTGTAGGCGCTGTCCAAGCCGAGCTTATATTTTCTTAGGTTTTAGGCTTTCAGTGTTACCATCATTTCAAAACAGTCCATTTATGCTTTTAATTTAAGTTGTTTGCTACTCCTGTTGAGTTCAGCATGAAATATAAAAAGTCATTATCCCAACCTGCAATGTTTTTCCCAGGCTAGTTAGTTTGAGGTAGCATGCTGATGATTATTGTTGTTTGTGCTTCAAGGCTGCAGCCAGATTAACAGGGACCACTGTTGTCCTCCTCTTCCCTAGGCTAGCCAGTTCAATGTTGAGCATTTCTCTGGGATGCACAACTGGTACGCCTGCTCGCACGCCAGACCAACCTTCTGCAATGTCTGCAGAGAGGCTCTGCCAGGTGTCACCTCCCATGGCCTGTCCTGTGAAGGTACAGAGACATGCACATTTGAAAATGCAACCAAATAACTATAAATTTTCAAGGACCAATGTAGGCTACTCTGTCTTTCTGGCCTAATCAGATATTATGAGACAATTATCTTTAAGTTTCACCCAAAACACAGTAATATTTAAGTTCAGTTTGTCTAACATGATTGTTCTTGGCTCTGCAGTTTGTAAGTTCAAGGCTCATAAGCGCTGTGCAGTTCGCTCCACCAACAACTGCAAATGGACCACGCTGGCCTCCATAGGAAATGACATAATTGAGGACGAGGAGGGGGTGAGTGTGGGACTATATGTGCGAGCATACAAGACAACCAAATGTTGTCTTACCTTCATCTCTTTATTGGGTATTTCATTTACTTTCAGTTAAAACTGCAGTTTATGTGCAAAAACAAAAGGAGAAAATACTCTGATATCACTCAAATGACTAAATGCATTAACTGTAGGCAAAAAGGCTGACAGATTATAAATGATTAATTTTTTTAAAAGGTTTCCCTAGATCTTTGCACACAAGCAATTCCAGTCCAGCTCACTTAGGTTTGTTAATATGACTTCAGGTCAAATGAGTCTGGACTTGGGATGGTTCATGTTGTACATTCTCAGTATTTATCCATATTTTTCCCAGGTGTCCATGCCCCACCAGTGGTTGGAAGGCAACCTGCCAGTCAGTGCCAAATGTGTCGTATGTGATAAGAACTGCGGTAGTGTGCGGCGGCTGCAGGACTGGCGATGCCTCTGGTGCAAGGCCATTGTAAGTAAGACCTGATTTTAGCCTCCAAAACTGACTCATCAAATCAGTGTTCATATGCCAGCTGGAAGTTATTTTCAATTTGGATCTGACGCTACAGAGTTTATGAATTTGAAATCAGGCATCATTTAATCAAGGTGATGCAGGATGTGATTTTGGTGCCTAAATAAAAGTGCAGCAAACCAGACTAAATTGTGAATTAAATGCATTCAGGGTGAGATGTGCTCCCAAACCTTTTATTGCTCTTGACTCACTTTTTGCCCCTCAAAGACTGAAGGTTAGAAAGGTTCCCTGGAGTTGTCAGAGTAATGGGACTGCACTTAAGAGGGCAGCAGAGTTCCCTGAGGCGAAGAGGAGGAGGGCAGATCGAAATAAGAAATGGACTCAATAAATTCCTGTTCGGGGTTCCTAAATCTAACCTGGTGCTCTGGCTGCCTCAAGATGAAGAGAATAATCTTCCTGTGTGAGGACATTAGCAAATAATATGGTCTTTAGAACCAGAGTTTTAATTAAATGTGTAAGGAAGATCACATAGCACAGGACATTCATACCAACAGTTGGGTCCTGCATATTGTCAATAAAATATTCGCTTAAGCTAATGTATGAGTTTCATCTGGAGTGCTGGCAAGTTTTGGCTAATTGCCATAGTCATTAAAGTTAAAGCTGCTCTGCTCAGTATGTTTATGCCTCCACATGCCAGGGATACAACCACAAAGCAGTAATTTTACTTTAAAGATTATCACTTGTCCAGTACCTTTGTACCAGTTTCATTACCTCTAAGGGGCCAGTATCACCAGTAAAATGCAGTATTCTCCTTGCCAAAAAGTGATTCATATTTTTGTGCTGAAAGGGGTTTTCATTTTACCTTTATTTCACTCTTGTAGTTTGTGTTTAAAGATTATGAACCATCCAGTACCTTTGTACCAATTTAAGCAATTTCTTCACAACTGTTGTGATTGTTGTCTTCATTTTTATTATTGAATCCTACTGTGTTGTCATTCTCAAACAATTTAAATCACAAAAACAAAGGAAAATCCATATAATGGAAAATATAGCTAGTTACAGTCTAAAACAGCCCACTTTACAAGTAGTACATAAGACAGTGTTTAATTAATAATACTTATTTTAAATTATTGGGAAATGGGAAATTTTTAATAATGTGATAAAAGCAGTAAAATGATCTACTACTGTAAAAACATAAACAAATGGAACAGTGGAATTGTCCTTTAAGAGACAAACCTAACATCTACAGAAGAGGCTTTTTACTCTGACTCACCGCTCCACTTAGCAGAGGCTGCACTCAAACACACAAAGACATGTACACAAATGAATCAGAGCGGTATTTGTAAAGGTTGTAGAACTGACATTTGGTGGGTTTCAGAGGGATGTAATGACCTTTCTGCTTCTACTGAAATATTGAATTACTGTGGAGACCACTGACTGTGTGTGTGTGCGTGTTCGCATATGTGCAGGTCCATAACAGCTGTAAAGAACAAATGGGGAAAGTGTGTCCCTTGGGTCAATATCGGGTTTCAATCATCCCTCCCACTGCACTTAATAGCATCGACTCAGATGGTGAGAAACCTCTTACACCTACACACACACTCATAATGACACTTCCATTCAGAGCATTGCATGTACAGTAGGTTTAAAGTTCAGGAATGTCACTTTTCAACCTCAATAGTGTAAATCCGCAAAGATGTGACATTGTTACTGACCCTTGATTTTCTTAACTGTTGCACAAATATCTGTTCATTCTCTTCATCCTGTACATTTATGATGTAAAATAAAAGTTTCAACATTTCAAATTTTAGCATGCTTGGATTAACATTCTAGGAGAAAACTGAAGAAAAGATTTTATGCAGCATTTAATATTGAAATTAGACACATTGAAATGTCATCAGAAATGTACAGTGCTGGCACAATCCCTGTCATCTAGTATCCAGGATCCAACACATACAGCTTTCTCAACATATGAACTATAATAGTTGTAACTTGACTTAGAGCTTGAAATGTTGTTCAGTCTTGCATGCTTGGACAAACCTACTTTTCAGGCTTCTGGAAGGCCACCTCTGCATCATGCGCCAGCCCTCTCCTGGTGCTGGTCAACTCCAAAAGTGGGGACAACCAGGGGGTCAAGTTCCTCCGCAAGTTCAAGCAGCTTCTCAACCCAGCGCAAGTATTTGACCTCATGAACGGAGGACCAGAGCTCGGGTACTTGTACTTTTTTTTTTCAGAATTGGTGTACTGGTTTGGAAAAGTGGCATACAGATGATTCTATAAGCAGTGATATGCTTTTAAATCTTGACAGTTGATGGAAATAAATGAACTAATTATTGATGAAATAAGCTCATGTATCGATTTCTAACAATGCAGAAAAAGATTCACCTGGTAACCAGCTCTATTCTTACTGCTGTGTATTTCTCCTCTCATGGGAGTTTCTAGTTTGCCACAGCTGTTTTTTGCTGTTGTTTTGCTGCCTTTTCATGACACCTGCCTTTTAACATTTTGTGCTTTGCCTCCTCCTCATCCTCTGGTCCCATCCCACGCCCTCCACCTCACCCAGCCTGCGCCTTTTCCAAAAGTTTGTGACGTTTCGTATCCTGGTGTGCGGAGGAGACGGCAGTGTAGGCTGGGTACTCTCGGAGCTGGATAAACTCAACCTTCATAAACAGGTGAGAGCGAGGAGGAGGAGAAGAGGATGATGATATAATACTGATGTGGAAGGTAAATGTGGAGAATGCTGAGGTGCATGAAGAAGTAGGGAGCTACCAGCTGTGGTTACATCACAGGACAGTCCAGTTGTTAGGACAGTTAAACTCACCTGGGGTTACCTAGTTTGTAGGTTGTTTTTTTTTTTTGCTGCCTGTTCTGAAATTGAAAATAGAAACTGCCAAATATCAAATATATGATGAATGCTTGAAGACATCTTTATCGTTTTGAAACTAGAAAGCAAATTGTTATTTTCATATCATGTCAGACAACTTCTGTTGCTCCTCTCATGGGGTGGGGGGTCCTCACTTCTGCTGGTCAGGCTAATTCAGGTTCATACAGAATAAAGTAGTTGCCAGTGACACGAATGGATCGTGAATATTTTTCTCTGTTACCTCTTACTTCTCCCCTTTGCAAGCTTGTGGTTAACATGATTGTGACATGGGAAGGTTTGCTCTGTGTTTTGGGGAGGCAGTCACTGCAGTAGGCTGATGTAAGTTAGCTACATGCTATTGAGGGTGGGAAAGTTACAGTAGTTAGCTTAAAAACAAAAACAAAAGAGCGTCCAGTTAAGCTTGGAGTGTGGTACACAAAGCATAAGGGGCCTGTCATTATGAGACAAGGCAGAATAGTCTCTGTTCGAGCGAATTTAACTTCCCTTCACCACGACCGAGCTTCAGATTGCTAAAGTTAGCTATCATAAAAAAAAAAAATGGCACAAACCCCAGAGGACTCCCACCAAAGATAATATAATATGAACTGGGCGAGGTTATTTTGTTATAGTAGGTAGGGGCAGTTCTGATCCACACTCCAGTTTAGAAGGTGGCAGTAATGCACGTAAAGCTGTTTGCCAACCGCCTTTTAACAGTAGTCGAAGAAGAAGGAGGCTTAGGGGTTATGCGGAACGTCACGTGACCAAACCGGAAACCGGGTCAGCGCACTTCCGCTTTTCCGCAGAACGCGGGTGACACAACAGTAGTAAACTGGAAACATGTTCTTTAAGCTGGTTTTATTTGATTAGTTCGTAGATTAAAAAAAACAAAAACAAAAAAAAAATGTTTTTTTCAAGACACAAATACCAGAAGCGGGATCATCCAAACAGTGATTTCTGCTGCGTACCTCAATGCGCGATGTCAGGGAAGTTTAATTAGGAGCTACAGCTCTGCAAAGGTAACAACTGACATCTGTCTATCTTGTTTACACACTTAATTTTGAATGTTGTTAAAATATAATCTTCTAAACTTTCTAACTTATGCTAACACTAACGTTAGCTTTGCTGATGGGATACACTGTGTGGCTAATAAATAAGATGCTAGCGTCCGTTTAGCATTTTTAGCATTTTAGTCTAAACATGCTCCTGTGAATAACGTAGGCTACCAGTTAGTGTGTTTATAAGCTGAAGGTCAAACTTGGAGGTCAAATCAGTTAGGATAATTTTAATTCATTGTGTATTTGCTCTCTGCAGTGTCAGCTGGGTGTGCTGCCTCTGGGCACAGGCAATGACCTGGCGCGGGTTCTGGGTTGGGGAGGCCTCTGTGACGACGATGCTCAGCTGCTGCAGATTCTGGAGAAGCTGGAGAGAGCCACCACCAAAATGTTGGACCGGTAAAACTGGGTTGGAGGGGGCAAAAGCATAGTTAGCACTAATTCTTTACTGAGCTAACCATTTTAACACATCCATATTTGCTTTGCTTTTAAGTTTTCTGTCTGTTCCTCATGAATGTTGAAATCTGATCCTTCTAAGGATTGTATATTTCTCAAAGGCAATGGCCTACACAGGAGCAAGCACTAACAACAGCTGCCCTAGAGGGAAAATGTTCTTTGTTCTTTATTTTCAAATTAAATGGAGGTTTTATTTTCTGTCTGCTATCGTTTAAGTCAAATTATCCTCAACTGTTCAAATGATTCAACATTTACCATTTTTCTTAGCTGCTGTCATCCACTTTTACATCATAGTGAAATTAACCACACGAGGATGGCTGTCTGTTAGAATGTGAAATGTATGTTGACTTAGTCATGGCATTGCATTTGAAGATTTCCCATGTTTTCATGTAGATACAGTGTGTGCTTTATGTTTATACAGTGCACTCTGATACTGTTTAAGAACAACAAAAGAAGACAGTTCATTATAGTCTAGTAAAAATCTAATTTGTTTTGGGTTATGAATGTGAAGGAGCATACTGTACATACCCTCCTGCATGTGTAACATGTCAGGATTATACAGTCGGCGTTCTTTCATCGGTTTCTCATTTAGCAACAGTTTTATATGGATGTAAACAGTTTGGCAGCTTTGTCATGGAAACATGACAAATTCAGAATTTGAGACTTGAAGCAAGGTAAAAAAAAAAAAAAAAAAAAAGAGGG